TGTTGTATTAAAGTTTTTCTTCATTACCCATTCAAGCCGTCTCCAGCCATTATATAAGCAATATATTTGGGATTTTACGCCAATACAAAAAATCAATGTTTGAAATTATCAAAAAATGCATGTCCCATTAAACTGTCCAAGTAAATTTAATTTCACAGCATAAATCTATTGTACTGAGTTGATTACATGGTATTTCACAAAGTGCTGATAAAATATTGAGATATTACAGCTTGAAACGGGAATCAACTATTTCCTGTAAAATACAAAAGGGTTTAAATTTTTACTTTTATCATAGTTGGGTATGAACCAAAAGCCTTGAAGGACCAAACGATTTTTTGTTGCTCATAGGCTGTATTATAGTTTTGGCTATGACTTAAGACAAATTATCTGAATTTGTAATAACTGTAAGTGAAAGAACAGCAGAAATTTAAGCAAAATACAAGATCGCCTATGAAAATTACTCTCTCTATGTGTATAACACTCTCAGGTATGTAGATTTTCTACAAATAACAATAGTAACCATTCTAAAAAGCCCATAATGGCTCAGTGATATGTCTGCGGACTTACAACACAAAAACCGGGTATTGATACCCATGGTGGGTACAACACAAATAGCCCATTATGTTGATTTGTGCTTAATCACAAATAAACAAACTGTTATAAAAGGCTCGGCAGAAAATATATTATATAGTTAAACTGAATTGTGGCATAACTGAATTTGGGAAAAAAAGCTAAACACGAAGTTTTTCAAGGAGTAAAAGCATCATTTATTCAAAAAGCACAAGATATGGTAACAAATACAAACTCAGTCAACAGATGTATTGATAAAGGCAAAAACAATCATACTTCTCTATATAAAGAGAGAATAAGATATTTTCCAATGAGAATTTGAATTTATCTAAGAATCGCGATAAAACTGAAAAAAAGAACCATTTTATACTTCTTCTTATAAGGTCATTTCTAAATCTTCAGGTATTTTCTAATTTGTAAACGACTGACAGGACTAAAGAATCCATAAGTACAAGCCTATATAATTATCCAGTCACACCTTTCATCGTAAAATCTAGTATGGTAGTTTCAAGAGCACTGATTTACAACAGGAGGGTGTAGATCACTGTTCCATCTAAGCTGCGCGACCGCACAACAACTAATCAAATGCCGTGCACATCCTCAGCAATGGTAAGGAGTCTCAACACGTTCACAGCCTTAACGGTCCTGGCAGTCGATAGGCCTAAAGACCAAATAACCAACTGGTAGCATTATAAAGTGATTCAGTAGGGTTGATGGTCTAAAAATACCCCTACCCCTACCCCCGAAAAAGTGGTAACGCACATCCGCACATTGCCTTGATACTGGTGCACATGAAAACATTCATTCCGCACATGGATTAAAAAATTAGAGAAAACATTGGTGTAGATCCACTAATAATTAAAGGGTCGAACAAAATAATATTTATGAAGTTTAAACTGAAAATTTTATTCAACCGATTTGAAGCGAATAGATTGAAAATAAAGTAAAATGAATCTTAAGTTTCAGCAACAATAATGGACGAATGCACTTAACGTTAGATGGCGCTTTTATATATTCTATTGAGATTCTGTTCTAAACTGAGAGAGCACGATGTTATAAACACAGTGTAGAGACAACAAGGGACCTGTTGGTCTATCTAAGCTGACTCATCCATTAAACTAAACTCGAACTAAAACCTCAAAGCCAGACCTTGTCATTTATATATTTATCAAGCTTCCTCTTTAAACTAATTTAAATTTACTGCCTCCACAACACCCGAAAGCAGCCCGTTCCAAAGGCCAACTGCCCTGTTAGAAAAATAAAACTGTCTTAGCTGAAGATGACTCCTATTTTGCC